ATTAGTTAACAATCTAAATGGAAGACAAGATTTATTTTCTAAGACAGCAGAAAAATGCCTTTGAAAGTAATTCAGAAATCAGAAGATCTGTCCTTCTTATTAGAAATCCAGAGTGAAAAAGCCCCAGTCAGTATGGAGCCTTTGCACAGAGCCCCAGTTAAGACACTATCTCATAAAATCATGGAGACATAGCTACCTTTCTGACTTATACTGGCTGAGGCATGGCATGTGATTTCAGCTAAAGGGAGACACAATCACATGACCCAGGCACAGAACCGCTACAGGGGCAAGGGTGCCCAGAGATGTGTTGACAGAGCCACCACCACAGTGTGTCCAGAAGGTTAAACACCTTCAAATTTGTATGAAATTGCAAGTGGTTCCAAATGGCCAAAATAATCTTGAAAGTGAGTAAAATTAAAGGATTTGATATTTCTTAATTTCAAAACTTAATGCAAAACTGCTGTAACCAAAAGTACATGGTAAATATAGATTTATAGATAAATGGAATGGAATTGAGATTCCAGAAAATAAACATATACATCTATGACCAATTGGTTTACAACAAGGTGTCAAGACCATTCAATGGAAAAAGAATATTCTCTTTGGCATAAGGTGCTGGGACCACTGGATATACACATCCAAAAGAATGAAGTTGGACCCTTTTTTTATACTCTATACAAACTTGATTCAAAATGAGTTAATTACCTAAACATTAAAGCAAAAACTATGAAATTCTTACATGAAAATATATGGATTAATCTTCATGGTTGTGGATCAGGCCATGGATTGTTAGATATTACAGAAAAACCACAAGTAATAAAAGATATACATATATAGATAGATGTACACATACATATTCACACACATACACATACATACATATGCACACATATATATGTGTATATAATATAGTGTATTGTATATTATATATTATAGTCTATTATATATATAATTAAACTTTATCATTAACATATTTGTTCATTAAAAGATATTTTCAAATGGAAAGAAAAATGACAACCTACAGAATTAGAAAGCAATAATGACAAGCTATATATCTGACAACAATCTACAATATAGAATGTGTGTGTGTGTGTGTGTGTGTGTGTGTACACACAATAATAAAAAGGCAAAACACCCAATTTTTTAAATGGTCAACATACTAAAAAGACATTTTTCAAAGATATACCTATGTCCCAAATTCACATAAAAACATATTAAACATCATTCATCATTATCACATGCAAATCAAAACCACAATTCCATAATACTTTATACCAACTAAACGACTTAAAATAATTTTTGAAAAATTAAGCATTACAAATGTTGGCAAAGATGCAGAGAAATTGAAACCCTGTATGTTACTGGTGAAAATATAAAAGGGTGCACCCACTGTGGAATAGAGTTTGATGGTTCCTCAAAGAGAAAAATAAGAATTATTATATGACCCATCAATTTTACTCCAAAGTATGTACACAGATTTAAAAGCAGGTGTTTAAACAAAAGCTTGTACCTGAATGTCATTAGTAGAATCATTCACAAATTCAAATAGTTGAAAATACCCAAATGTCCACAAGTGAAAAAAAGATAAATACTTTATGATATATACATTGGAATATTACTCATAAATTATAGTGTTGATATACATACAGATCCTGCAAAGTAAATTAGTTTTTAAAACAATATACCAAATGAAAGAAGACAGAAACAAACCGCTACATATATTTTGCTCCCATTTATATGAAATATTCAGCTTAGGTAAATCCATAGACAGAAAACAGGTTACTTGTTTCCATGGCCTGAGGTTAGAGGGGGAGTTGGAAGTGACTGCTTAATAAGTATAAGGTTTTATTTTGGGATGATGAAAACATTTTGAACTAGATGAAAGTGGCGGTTGCACCACATTATGAATGTACTAAATGTCACTAAGGTATACATTGTTAAATAATTAATTTTATGTTATTGGAATTCATCTCCTTAAAAAAAATACAGTTCATGGTAGGATAAGAAATGAGATAGACAATTAGATATAAAAGTTAGTTTCATCTGGGCATGTGAATTTTTTAATAAATGTTTTTTGAAACACAGGGGCCCTTTATTATCATTTACTACATTTCTGAAAAAATGGATTAATTCGTTAAAATACTGTTTATCAAATAAATACTTACATAGGCCAATCTTGGAAAAAGAAAAAAAAAATTGACACTGAAAAAATTAGGCCAGCATCCATAACCTCAGACTGCATGTCCACTCCAATGTCAGTCTGGTGCTGGCAGCACAACAGTTCAGGTTGGCCTCTGCAGACCTACAACACAGGTCTGTTCCTACAATCCCAGTACCTAGGCCTTCACTAGTGGATCCAGTTTCCAGGCCCATCCTCATAGTCAAAGACACTGGGGAAGGTCCTGTAGTCCCAGGCACCATGCCCACCCAACTTCTGACCTAGTCACCAGGTCATCCAACCCAAACACTTTCTAGCAGCAATCTCACCCCATAGACCCCACTAGCTGGCCCACCAACATTTTTAAGCAGGCTGATTAGAGAAGGCATTTCCCAGTCAAAGCTGTGTGCAAAGACTAGAAGATGTGTCTACATCTTTGAATCCACAGATACTATTGCATGATGAAAAGGATCACAGTCAGGAAACCATGAAACTTCCTAAGGAACAAAATAATGCACGAATGACCAACTCTAAACAAATGGAGATCTACAAACTGCCCAAAAAGTATTCAAAATAATCATCTTAACTAGCCCAGTGAGCTTCAAGAGAACAAAGATAAACAATTAAATCAAATCAGGAAAATAATATATGAACAATATTAGAAGTTGAACAAAGAGGTACAGATCATTAATAAAAGAACCAAACAGAAATTATGGCACTAAAGAACAAAATGACTGAACTAAACATTTCCATAGAGAACTTAAACAGCGGAGTCAATCAAGCAGAAGAAAGAATCATTGGGCTTACAGACAGGTCATATGAAATTACCCAATCAGAGAGGAACAGAAAGGAAAAAGAGTTTAAGAAAAAAAAAAAAAAAGAGTAAAAAGTTGTTTACAGGACTTATGGGAGATCGTCAGGTAAACCAATATACACATTATGAGAGTCCTAAAAGGAGCCGAGAAAGAGAAAGGGGAAAACTTATTTAAAAACATAATTACTAAACTCCCTAAATCTGGATAGGAAAATGAACATCTAGAATGATGAATCTCAAAGAGTACCAAATATATCTTTCCAAAGTCATATTATAATTGAATTCTCAAAGGTCAAAGATTAAGAGAAAATTCTGAAAGCAGCAAGAGAAAAGTGACTTACCACATACAGAGGAACCTGTAAAATATTATCAGTGGATTTCTGAGAAGGAACTTTGCAGACCAAAGGAGAGGGGAACAATATAAAGTTCTAAAATAAAAATTTAAAAATCTAATAACCAAGAATACTATGCAGAGAAACATTCCTTCAAAAAATGGAGGAGAGATAAAGATATTCCCAAACAAACAAAAACTGAGGGAGTTCATCAACACTACACCTGAACTGGAAGAAATATTCAATGAAGGTCTTCAAGCTGAAACAGAAACACGCTAATTAATAATATGAAGACATGAAAATATAAAATTCACTGGTCAAAGTCAGTACATAGTAAAATTAGAATATTCTAATACTCTAACGAAGTTGTGTAAATAAGTTTTAACTCTATCATGAAAGTTAAAAGACTAATATTAAGGAATTAAAAATAATTATGGTAGTTCGTTAATGGATTCAGGTTATATAAATATATAAACTGTACATCAAAAACATAAAATATGACAGGAGAAGAAATTAAAGCATAGAGATTTTATTCATGGTTAAATGTTATCAACTTAAAATAATGTTATGAATACAAGTTGTTTTATGTTAGCCTCCTGGTAACTACAAAGAAAAAAACCTGTAGTAGGTACACAAATGATAAAGAGAAAGAAATTAAATTCCACCTCTACAAAAAAATTGTCAAATTACAAAGGAAGACAGCAAGAGAGGATGAAAGAAACAAAGGAACTAAAAACAGTAAGAAGACAATTAACAGTGAGGTGTGATGGCTCACGTCTATAATCCCAGCACTTTGGGAGGCCAAGGCAGGCAGATTACCTGAGGTCAGGAGTTCGAGATCAGCCTGGCCAACATGGTGAAACTCTGTCTCTACTAAAACTATAAAAAGTAGCCTGGTGTGGTGGCATGCCCCTGTAATCTCAGCTACTTGGGAGGCTGAGGGAGAAGAATCACGTGAACTCAGAGGCAGAGGTTGCAGTGAGCAAAGGTTGCACCACTGCACCCTGGTCTGGGCAACAGAGTTAGACTCTGTCTCAAAAATAATAATATTAATAATAATAATAATAGAAAACAATTAACAAAATGAAAGCCCTAAATTCTCACCTATCAATAATTGCTTTAAATATAAATGTACTAAATTCTCCAATAAAAAACATGAAGTGGCTGGATAGATAAAAAACAGTCTGGACATTCCTCAGAAAAATAAAAACAGAATTACCATATGATTCAGCAATCCCACTTCTGGGTATATATGCAAATGACGTGATATCAGTATCTTGAAGCTATATCTTCTCTCTTATGTTTGTTGCAGTGTTACTCACAATATTCAAGATATAGAATCAATCTAAATGTTCATTGCCAGATAAATGGATAAAAGAAATGTGATATATATTTCTTTTATCCATTTATCTGGCAATGGATAAAAGAAATTTATATATATATACATATATATATGTATACACACACACACACACACACAATGAAATACTATTCAGCCTTAAAACAAAAGGAAAATCTTGTCATTTGTAACAACATGAATGAAACTGGAGGACATTATACTGAATGAATCAAACCAGATACAGAAAGACAAACACTGCATGATATGATTTATATAAGCAATCTAAAAAAGGCAAATTTGTCAAAACAGAGGGTAGAATGGTAGTTACACGTAAGTAAGAAGTAGGGTAACAATGAGATATTGGTCAAAGTATCCAAATTTTCAGTTATAAGATGAATGAGTTCTGAGGATCTAATATACAGCATGGTAACTACAGGTAATATTATTGTATTGAATACTTCAAATTTGCTGAGAGGATAGACCTTAAATGTTATCACCATACACACACACACACACACACACACACACACACACACACACACACAAAGGCAACGATGTGAGATGATGGATATGCTTATTAGTTTGATAGTGGTAATCATTTCACAGTACATACATATCAAAACATGTTGCACACCATAAATATATAAAATTTTTATTTGACAATTATATATCAGAAAAGCTAGGGAAAATATAATGAACTAAGTTATTTTAGGAAGTGAGAATATATCATTATATTTCACAGAAACATTTTATTCAATTTAATTATCAAACATTTGACTTCATAAAGATCTCTCATTTTGTAAAATATTAAGAATGTTTCTCATTGTATTCAGAAAATAAGTCATTGTAATGTGAAAAATATTAAAGGTGTTTAGAATCAGACAAAGTAGGAAGGTAGATCCTACTTTGACCCAAAGACAGTAAATCCAAAGTGGAAAATAGTTACTTGTAGGTTTCATCAGTGTTTTTTTATTTGGAAGAAAGAGGTCTAATTACCCACCCTTCTTTCAGTGTTATTATCATTTTAACATATATTAGAGTAGTGAGGCCAGCCCAACTATATTTTATCCAACACACTAATCTGGAGTCATATTATTTAGGGAGCCAAAAGGCCCAGTGAAAGAAGGCACTACCTACATTTTTAAGGTAGAAAATGTAAGTGAGAAGTAATTCAATTAAAGCTAATTTTTTTTGACAAATGTCATACTATATATCTGACAAGTTCATCAATATTCAACTTCAGAGATGACTGACATTTCAATGCCAATTAAAGTCAACAGGACTAGCTTCTCTTCATTTCTCCTGATTCTGCTCTCTTGCATGTGGTGGCTATTAACTGCACCAGCTTACAACTATGCTCATTCCTAGGAGAAAAGCACTGTTACTCCAATTCAAGTTCAGAATTCTAGAGGCTGGAAAGGCAAGGAAACAAATCTCTAGATCCTCCAAAAAAGAACAGAACCTATCACCATCTAAATTTGGCCAAAGTCATGTGAACGTCTTACCCACAGAATGGTAAGATAATAAATTTCTTTTTTAAAAATGTATGCTTTAAAATCTATCACTTTGATCTTATGTTATTTAAGTAAGGATAATTTGTTGTGGAAGCAAAAAAAAAAACCCACAATGGTTTTTAAGCCGTGTATAGAGATATGAATTTGTATTGAAATTGGGAGTGGGTGGGTAGGTATGAATGGGAGTACTAACAGTCTGGCCATTAATACAATAAATAGGGAATCTTGGGATAGTAACCCACAGCACTCCAGGTCCCTCCAGCATTTAAATCCTTAGACTTTACTCATATGAGCTCCTTTCATTGATACTTTCCAAAAGATAACATCAAAATAAGAAGCAATAAGTTTCAGGGAGAAATAGAAAGTTCAGGGTAAAAATGGTTACTGGTTACTAGCACAGAAAGAGAATCAACATAAACATCATTCATCCCTACATGCTAGGACATATCCAATGTGTAACTCATTTAATAAGAAGATGGTATTATTCATACTTTTACTAACAAGGAAACAGGGAAAGATTATTTGCCCAATGTTACATGCTAGTAAAGATTGCAGTCAAGATTCAAATCCAGATGTTTCTGAATTCAAAATTCTTTCCAGTGCCCCTCTACTAGAGATGCCTTTCCAGGAAAGTCAAAGTGATAAACTTGTGGCTACATTTAGTGTAATTATGCTTCTTACTCAGACATGCTCACACCAAACATGGGGTTAGTATACAGAAAGAGGCGGATCTTTTCTAGTGCTTTAGGAATCTCCTTTTTCTCTACTCACAAACCAATCAACTTCACATACCCTCAGCACCATGCTAAGTGCTAAAGACAGGCATCTTAGAGAAAAACAAGACACATTTTGTTCTTTAAGGGACTTGAAAATATTTGGCGGGACAAGAGAGGGGGGAATCTGAAGAATGTAATTGAACACTAAGTTATACTGTGCTAAATGTCCCTAGAAGGAAGACGTTCGTGTGATATGAGAGTTACCAAGGAAGCCTGCAGAGAGTGGGAAGGACTCAGGCAGACTCAAGGTGAGGCTGACTCCCTGTGGTGCCTTTGGTCCACACCTGCACACTTGTCTGAGAGTCAGATGGGTACCAAGCACTTGCTAAGTGCAGGGAGGTATTCTCTTGCTCTTACGGCACTCAAGACACTCACAAACATTGTATGAGTTTGTGACAAACCAGAATTCGTCTTGGGATGTGATATGCTTACATCAAAGAATTTGCATAAAAATTGGGGAAGTGAGAGTATTATCAATCCTGACATTGTAGGACAGGTTCGTTAGACTCAATATTATGCCACGGTTTGTCATTTGTTTTTTAATAGGTTTATGCCTGCAATCGTTCAAACTATGGCAGTTTCATTGTGTTATTCAAAAGGCACCGACTTGACAATTTCTACATAAGATGCACCCCCAAGGCAGGCCCCCCTGGGGTTCTGATGACTGAGAAGTAGTGCTTATTAGCAGAAATGAAGGGAACCGTCTAACCTTTATGCCATTCCAGTTTCACTTCCACATCCAGAGGATAATCTTTTGATGGTATGAAATCGATTTTGAATTTATTTATTTATTAATTCCTCACATAAACATTCAGAAACATCCTCATTTCATTTTACTCACCTAATCTGTATATAGTGGGTATGCTCAACATCCTAATCTGAAAATAGTTAATTTAACATGAAGTCTATTTCAGAAAATTGGTCTTTTCATGCCTATGGCCCTTACAGACTTTTCCTGCCCATCTCCTGTTTGATGGGTTTGATTCTTTTTTTTTTTTTTTTCCTAGGGGAACCAACCTTGTTTCTCTGGCAGTTGCCTCTCTTTTCTACACAGCATCAAATCTAACATCTTCTGCTTTTTCTCACTTGGGATAATTTCACTAAAGAGCAGCTCCAGCTCATGCTTATTTTTTTATTACCTTGCAAAAATAAAAATAAAAAAAAACCTGTTGCCCAAGAAGCTCAGCCTGCTCTCCTGAGCCAAACTCCCCCACGCACTCAGACCCAGAATACAGGACATAAGAATGGAAGGTGCCGGCAGCGTAATGTCTTCCCTGTGGGCAGCTCTTCTACTTAATTTCTTTATCTAGAAAGACAAGTTTGCAGAAAATTTTGGAACGGTCACAGCTAAAACAGTTAATAGGCAGCCAAAGCCAGAAGGGGTTAAGAACAATCTCTGACGTCTGGTTGGGCAACGGTGCAGGAAAAGAAAAAAAAAATGTTGAAGGTGTTTAAGTTTGTTTAATACATGTCTTTTTCTTCAAGGTAACTGCTTTATATGTGGTTGATGTTTTGAAATTATGCCAATTGAAATGTAAAAGGATCCGAATTTTCCTGTCCTATTCTTATTTGAATAAACCTTATTACACGTTGCCTTTACTCATGACTAAGTTATTGCAGCGCCGAGTCAATATCATTCACACGATTTGGATTAAATTACAGCAGTGCAGGTCCCTTTTCTTTCTTTTCCTTCTCTCCTGAATATAAACTCACTATGATTTTTCTTTGGCTGGCATTTGCTCCTTTGACTTTCCCCCATATTCAAGAGATGGTGTATGCTCCAAACACATAACATTATCAACTTTAAGGGCTGCAATTGATTGAATATTTTGACAAATATACCTCTCTAATTCCTGAAGCCATATGGACGTGCAGGATGCCATATGGAATAAAGTACTCTGCCTCATGAAATGATCCAAAAGCATTTTTTTTTATTAGCGGTTATTTCCTTGAACTGAAAACTGACTAAATTTTGAATATTTCATCACTGGGGATAGTAATCTAGCCAACTCTATATTCTTAGCAGCATCTCTGGTGATGAAAGCATATTGCAGAAGTGAATGTCCTTGACAGGGGTCACCACATTTTTTTAAATGTCAGGAGAAAGGTTACTTCTGTATTATTTGTGTATCCATTAGGATGCTGCAGGAAGCAACAGAAAACCCTCAATTAGCTGTCTTAAAACTAGGAGGAAATGTGGTTCTCCTGGATAACAAGAAGTCTCAGGCATGGCAGTGAAAGGGTTGGTGAAATCTAAGGCTCCAGAATGCCAAGAACAAGCATTCTGTCTGCTGTGACTGTCCTCCCTGCCTGCCGGCTTCATTCTCCAGCTGGCTGCCCTCATGGTTGTGGGCTGGCTACCACAACCTCGGCATGACACACACATGTAGCAGTGTCCAGTGGAAGCTAATCCATCAGTTCCTGCTGATGGTCTTTTTAATAAGAAACTCTCAGATATAATTCAACAGGACACCCTCACAACTCATTCTGTGTCTGTCACATGCCTGTTCTAACAGTCAGCGTGTCCAAGGGAGGGGGGATTCCCATGACTGGCCTAATGTAGCATGTGGATGCAGAAGAAAGACCCCCCAATTAAGCTGGTGGTCTCTTAGAAAGGAAGGAAGAAGCAAGAACTTGATGAAGAGCCTTGTAACCAACAAAGTTTGCTACATGCTTATAATACTTTTTTGTACTTAAAAAATTGACTTGGCCATTCCATCTCCATGAAATCTGCTGAGTAAATTTTTTACATGGGAGAAATAAATGGAGTCGCCCCCAAAGACCATCAGAAAAATATTTCATTGAAATCTGAGACTGTCCAGCCATGGATATTTGTTGAAGTCTACCTTTCCAGCACTCCAAGGACTGCTTCTTAGAGAAAATCTTACTGAAAATAAAGGATATGTAGGACTGACTTTCTTCTTCATTGCTAAATGGCTGCAGGAGTATTTTCAAACCACTAATCTCTAATCTGCATTTCTATTTATAGAATGTGATGCTTTTTGAATATCTTCTATGAAGTATTAATGAAGATGGAAAACCAAAATTACGAGCATCTAATCAATTAGACATTCATAACTGAAGCTTGTTTCCATAAAGTAGGTAGAAGACATCCCATTCAGCTTAGAACATGAATGTCCTGGTTCATCCTGACACCACTGAGTTGAGACAGTGGTGTCTTGAGCAGAATCCAGATTTTTTTCCTTAACATT